CCATTCTTCAAAATTATGAGGTCGGCCGCCCAGAAGGATGAGTCAGGAAAACAGAAGAAATTTGAATGGACTCAGGAATGCTAAGCTGCATTTGAAGAGCTGAAGTCTTATCTTAGCTCGCCGCCTCTGTTGACTAAGGCTGTAGATGGCGAACTTCTTTACTTGTACCTGGGAATTTCAGATGAGGCTATTAGTTCAGTTCTGGTGAGAGAAGAAGCTAGACAGCAGAAACCAATTTATTACATCAGCAGTGTGCTGCACGGAGTAGAGCTAAGGTATCCTATAGCTGAGAAAGCAACACTAGCAGTTGTCACTTCGGCCAGGAAGTTGAGACCATATTTCCAGTCACACCCAATCATCGTCCTCACAGATCAACCCCTCCAGCAGATTCTGCAGAAATCAGAGTGCTCTGGAAGGTTAATCAAGTGGGTAGTAGAACTGGGGGAGTTTGAGATCACGTTTCAGCAGAGGTCGGCCATCCGAGCTCAAGCATTAGCAGATTTCGTTGTTGAATGCACCCCATGTCCCTCAACCTCTACTCCAGAACCCAATGAATGGGCCTTATATGTTGACGGGGCATCTAGTAGCAAAGGTTCAGGGGCTTGAGCTCTCTTGATTGGTCCAGACGGTTATCGAAGCGAACATGCTTTGAAGTTCAACTTTGATGCGACAAATAATATGGCTGAGTATAAAACTCTGCTACTCGGCCTACAACTAGCATTAGAGTTGAAGATCAGCGCAATTCAAGTGTACAGTGACTCCCAACTGGTAGTAACAGTTCAACTCTATTTGCGAAGTCGTTGATCCTGTGATGGTAAAGTATGTAGCCTTAGTGGCCGAGCTGAAGTGCAAATTTCAGAAATTCTATCTGAGTAAAATCCCCCGGGCTGAGAATGAACAGGCAGATTCACTCTCCAAGTTTGCCTCTGATAGCTCTTTAAGCTCCAGATCTGTTTTTGTAGAAGTTTTAGATGAACCAAGCTTCACAAAGCCTCGAGTGATGGAGATTAGCACAAATCCTGACACGCCAAGCTGGACTGATTCAATTGTCTCCTTACGAGACGGGATAGTGCTTGAGGACAGACAGGAGGCAATGAAATTGAGGAAGAAAGCATCTCGGTATACACTTGTTGATGGAGTCCTGTATAAGAGATCTTTCTCACTTCCTCTCCTACAGTGTTTAAGTCCCTATGAAGCTGAATACGCGCTTCGAGAGGTGCATGAGGGTGTCTGTGGGAGCCATGTCGGTGCTAGAACTCTGGCTCACAAAGTCTTAAGACAAGGATACTACTGGCCGAACATGTACAAAGATGCCACTTTGTTCAGAAATGTCCGAAGTGCCAATTCTTTGCACATCTAACTCATCAACCTACAGAAGAACTCGCAAGCTTGGTAGCACCATGGCCATTTGCACAATGGGGACTAGATCTTTTGGGTCCATTCGTGAAAGGGGTTGGTGGCGTAACCCATCTGGTTGTTGGTGTGGATTATTTCACAAAATGGGTTGAAGCTCGGCCTTTATCTAGTCTTACCCCCAAGAAGGTCGAAGATTTTGTTTTCAGCTCGATCATCTGCAGATATGGGATCCCAAACCAGATTGTGGCTGATAATGGAACTCAATTCAACTGCTCCTCTTTTCGAGATTTATGCTCCAGTTATGGGATCAAATTACAGTTCACCTCCGTTTATCATCCAGAATCCAACGGCATGGTTGAATCTGTTAACAAATGCATTCTGGAAGG